GACTTACAAGCCTCGTAAATAATACATTTTGGATATTATTTTAAGATTATGAACCAGAAACATGATGTGTCAGATGCATTTAGATTATTTTTTTCTTCTTCCTAATTAAATGACTCAGTCGAAGCCTGACTCACTAGGAATGAGTTTAAAACATAAATACCCTTGACTGTTATTTCTTCAGCTCTGAGTTCTTTCATTTAGTAAATGTTATCTTAAACTTTATTATAAAATAGTTCAGATAGATGAAGTATGAGGCTTTTGTCAGAAACCCCCAAGCTACTGTCATTCAGTCCCCAGACCATCAACTTTTGGTCAGCTTGGGTCAGGTAGTAGCTTGTGTCTATTCTTTCACACTCCCCAGTAAGTATTTCATCTTTAAGACTTTTAGTATGTATTTCTAAAATAAATCAGTATCACAATACTTTCACTGAACCTAGACAAATTTAATAAATACATATACTTTTATATATGTAGGATATATCTAATGCCATATATAAAAGTTCTTTGAAATTGATGATAGACATAATTATTAAAGTTAAAACTATAAATCTTTATGATCTTGGACTAGACAACAATTTCTTAGGAGGCAAAAACTGCAAACCATGAAAGAAAAAAAATGATAATATGGCTTTCATAAAAAATTAAAAGCTTGTTTTTCAAACAACATGATTAAGGAAAAAAGTGATGGGCTAGGAGAAAATATTTGCAAGATTTATATCTTACAAAGGAATTATATTCAGAATACAAAAAGAATCTTTAAAATTCAATTATAAACAAACAATTTAAAAATGAGCTAAGATTTCAGTAGTTACTTTGCCACGGAAGATATCCAATGGTAAATATAATCAAAGGGAAAAACAGGCTCATCATTATTAGTTATCAGGGAAAAGTAGTGACATACTACTACATGCTGATAAAATGAGTACAATTAAAGAAAGCAATAACAAGGAGGGTTGGTAATGATAATGAAGAACTGGAACCCTCATGCATTGCTACTGGAAATGCAAAATGGTATAGTCATTTTAGAAAACAGTTTAGAACAGTACAGTAGTTTCTTATCAATTGAAACATATTCTAAGGTACTCTCCAGAAATCCTTCTCCTAGGTAGTTATAATGAAGAGTAAAACAAACAAACAAATAAACAAACAAACAAACCATGTTCACACAAATAGTTGTTGCTAAATAAATGTTAATAGCAACATTATTTATAATGGTTCAGACTAGAAATTACCCAATTTTCCAATTGGGATATTGATAAGCAAATGACACTATATCCATAAACTGTAATACTACTTAGCAATAAAAAGAGTACAAGTTTACACAGTAATAGATTTTCACAGTAAACAGCAAAAGCTCAATGGAAGAAGCCAAATCACAAAAGACTACATTATGTTTTATTCTATTTATAGGAAATTATAGAAATTCTAGGAGATATTATAGTAATAGGAGGTCATTGGGTCTGAAGGACTGGAACTGGAGAAGGCTGACTGCATAGGGCTGTGAGGGAACTTTTTAGGGTGATGAAATGCTATCTACCATGACTGATGATTTTATAAGACTATATTATTTTTAAAATTCATTGACTTATGTACCTATACTGGGAATAAAGTAGTGAATAAAATAGTTTAAGGTCCTTGTCCTCATTCTCCTCTGCACTTATCTCATATTGTGGTTTCAAATTAATAGGGAAGTTTAGTAATTTATACCCAAAACTACTCATAAAGAGCCTTCTTCTAAAAAGCATTTGACAAAATACAGCACTCCTTTATGTTAAAAACACTAGAAAAATAGGGATAACAGAAATTTATCTCAACATCATAAAGGCTACTATGCTAAGTCTCAGGCCCACATTATTCTAAATGGAGAAAAATTGAAGGCATTCCCTCTAAAATCTGCAACAAGCCAGGGATGCTCTCTTTCACCACTTCTATTCAACATAGTTCTTGAAACACTGGCCAGAACAAGTAGACAGATGAAAGAAATTAAAGGGATAAAAATAGAAAAAGAAGAACTTAAACTAGCTCTATTTGCTGACTAGATGATTCTATACTTAGAAGACCCAAAAACTCCACCAGAAAACTTCTAGAACTAGTAAATGAATTCAGCAAAGTAACAGGATATAAAATCAACACCCATAAATCAAAGGCATTTCTGTATATCAGTGACAAATCCTCTGAGAAGGAAATAAGGAAAACTACCCCATTCACAATATCCTCAAGAAAAAAAAAAAAGATACTTGGGAATCAACTTAACAAAAGAGGTGAAAGATCTATACAATGAAAACTACTGAACCCTAAAGAGAGAAATCAAAGAAGACCTTAGAAGATGGAAAATCTACCTTGCTCATGGATAGGCAGAATTAATATTATCAAAATGACCATACTTCCAAAAGCACTGTACAGATTTAATGCAATTCTGATCAAAATCCCAATGACATTCCTTATAGAAATAGAAAAAACAATCATGAAATCCACCTGGAAAAATAAGAAAGAGACCCAGAATAGCTAAAGCAATCCCAATCAGAAAGAGTGAAGCAGGTGATATTGCTACACCAGACCTTAAACTATACTACAGAGCAATAGTAACAAAAACAGCCAGCATGCTATTGGCACCAAAACAGGCTGGTAGATTAATGTTACAGAATAGAGGACACAGAGACTAACCCACAAAATTGCAATTGTCTTATATTAGACAAAGCTGCCAAAAACATGCACTGGAGAAAAGATAGCATCTTCAACAAATGGTGCTGGGAAAACTGAAAATCCATATGCAACAAAATGAAATTAAACCCCTATTTTTCACCCTGCACAAAACTCAAAATGGATCAAAGATCTAGGAATTAAACCCGAGACCCTGCATCTAATAGAAGAAAAAGTAGGCCCTAATCTTCATTATGTGGGGCTATGCCCCAAGTTCCTTAATAAGACTCCTATAGCACAAGAATTAAAACCAAGAATCAATAAATGGGATGGAATAAAAAAAAGTTTTCTCTCAGCAGAAGAAACAATCTGTGAGGTGAACAGAGAGCCTACATCCTGAGAGCAAATTTTTACCCCTCACACATCAGATAGAGCACTAATCTCTAGGTATACAAAGAACTCAAAAAGCTAAACACCGAAAGAAAAAACAAATAACCAATCAACAAATAGGCCAAGGACCTGAACAGACACTTCTCAGAAGAGGATATAAAATCAATCAACAAATATATTAAAAAATGGTCATCATCACTAGCAATCAGAGAAATGCAAATCAAAACTACTATAAGATATCATCTCACTGCAGTCAAAATGGCAGCTCTCATGAAGACAAACAACAACAACTGTTGGCCAGGATGTGGGGAAAAGGTACACTCATACATTGCTGGTGGGACTGCAAATTGATGCAGCCAATTTGGAAAGCAGTATGGAGATTCCTTGGAAATCTGAGAATGGAACCACCATTTGACCCAGCTATTCCTCTTCTCAGATTATACCCAAAGGACCTAAAAACATCATACTGCAGGGACACAGCCACATCAATGTTTATAGCAGTACAATTCATAACAGCTAAACTGTGGAGCCAACCTAGATGTCCTTCAGTGGATGAATGGACAAAAAAAAAAAAATGTAGCATATATACACAATGGAATTTTACTCAGCATTAAAAAAGAACAAAATCATGGCATTTGCAGGTAAATGGATGGCACTGGAGAAGATAATGCTATGTGAAGTTAGCCAATCCCCCCAAAACAAATGCCAAATGTTTTCTCTGCTAAAAGGAGGTTGACCCATAGTGGGGTAGGGAGGGAGAGCACCAGAGGATTAGATGAATTCTAGATAGGGCAGAGGGGTGGGAGGGAAAGGGAGGAGTCAAGGGATTAGCAAGGATGGTGGAATGTGATGGACATCATTATACAAAGTACATGTATGAAGACTTGAATTGGGTGTCAACATACTTTGTGTACAGAGGTATGAAAAATTGTGGTATATATGTGTATTAAGAATTGTAATGCAAAACAAAACAAAGTACATGTATAACAGCATAAATTGGCGTGAACATACTATATATATGGAGATATGAAAAATTGTGCTCTCTATGTGTGATAAGAATTGTAATGCATTCCACCGCTGTCGTGTATTTATAAAAAAAAAAAAAGAGCCTTCTTCTTGGCTCTCTTAGCTATGTCCACAGATACTGCTACAAATGCCTTTGGTTGCTGCCAGAGGGTGTTACTGGATAGGACTGCCATTATAAAATGCTTTATGGCTTAAACAATAAAAACTTATTTTCTCACAATTATGGTGACTGGAAGTCCAAGGTCTAGATGTCATCACTTAGGTTTCTTCTGAGGTCTCCCTCCTTAGTTTGTAGATCACCACCTTATCCCCATGTCCTTTCGTGATCTTTCCTTTGTACATAAACCCATGATACCTCTGTGTATATCCAATTTTTCTTATTATAGGGACACCAATAAGAATGAATTAGGGCCTACATACACTTAGCTTAATCACTTCTTTAAAACTAGAGATTAGGACTTCAACATATGAATTATGGAGGAAACAATTCATGTGTGTGTATATATATACATTATTATATATATGAATATATATAACTACATATATATATATTTTTTTTTTCATGCTTTTCCAGGGACCTCTGTTAGATAGCTACTGAGCATCTAAAGGACTGCTTCTAAAAATTCCTGAAAAAGGAATAACAGGAGTGGTTTTGGAAGAATCTCATACATTTTATGTTATTTAGAACATTACAAGGTAATAAACAGGGCTGACAAAGGAGCACCAATCTCTGGTCCCAGAACCCGAATTGAAAAGCCCCCTCAAATAGGTCTCATGGATTCCACATGGTATTTTCCCGTCTGTTTTCTGCAAGCAGAAGATAGGTGCAACAGAGGGTATCCAAGAAAGTAACCTTCTATTTCTTTTCCTATAAGTGTCATAAAAATATAAATTCTGTGAAACAATGAAAGGAACTTGGAACCACGACATTCTGGCTGTCTAGCCCAACATCAAACTGGTTTTGAGTTTCTTGAAGGAAGTCACCAAAGCTGTTGTGTTTGCTAGTACCATTCATAGTGTCAGGTAAGTACAATGACTGCAGTAGAGGCTAACTAACTGTTTAATGAATATTTTCCAGATGAAGTTAAGAGACATTCAAAGGCATGCAGTACATAGTTCTGAATCCCTCACCACAGGGTCTTTCCTCAGTGATCATCTGTAGATGTGGATGAGGAGATGCTCCAGGGGCAGTTGCAGGCAGACAGGTGAGCAGACAGGCTGCATCTGAGTGAGGATTGTCACATTGGTCCTGTGAAATGAACTGTCTGGTAGAAGCCTCCACCAGGTTTTTGAAATTTACTAAAGCTCTACGTGAACTCTTGCGATCACTACCTATTATCCAGGCACAGAATGAACAAGTTTTGGGGAGGAGCTTTGCAGAGGTTCACTGAATTAGCAGCAGAGCTTACTTCATCTCCTGTGAGCAGTCTTCATTGGTCCTTTGGCCTGGAAGAGTTAGCAGCTTTCCTGACGTTTGCCTCTCAATTCTTCCAACTTATGAAGCTGTAATTCTTAAGTGAAAAGGCTTCATGTCTGGAATATAAGGAATGGCAGGGCCTTCCCCTCTAAGCCTGGTTGGTATACAAGGTCACATAATGAACAGGTAGAAACTGCTCTGAAAGGGCAATTGGAGAAGGCTGGAGTTAGAAGGATGCTGAGATCCCTGTCAAATTTTCCTTATGTCAATGAGGAGGTAGGCTCCAAGGAATTTAGGGACTTAATGTGACAGGTTAGAACTGCATTAAGAGTCTTGATTTTAATCTATTGGTCTTCTGTTTTTACCATACTATATTTACCTTTTGAAATGCACAGAAATGTTTGAAAGAGATGTTTTTGTTTAGGCAGTTACTTGTGTATTTACTTATTTTATGAATGTGAGATACCCTCTCTTCCTCTTGTCTCTCTTTTACAACTTCAGAATGCTCCTAAAGGTACTTGCAGCGATCCAGAGTTGAAGGGTATTTATAGACAGAAGCTGGTCCAGGGTTCTAGTGAAGAATCAGCTAAAGGCAACAAGCAAGGTAACCTGAAGTGAAAGTATCATATTAAGCACTTAAAACTCAGGATAAATCAGATTGATAATGACAAAATAACATGGAATAAAATAGAGTGAGGTCAGATACTTCATGAGGATAAAAGAGAAGAAATGCCAAAGATATCCTATAATGGGAGACAATGTAAACAAATAAATATGATAGAGTGTGACAGTTGTTCAAATGAGTTCAACAATCAGTTTTTAATAATATGAGAGGATTTTTTGAACAGTAATGACTGGAATGCAAGAAGGATTCTGAATTATAAACTTTGATTTTTAAAAAAATATTTTTTAGTTGTAGGCAGACACAATCCCTTTATTTTTATTTTTATTTTTTTTAAAATGGTTCTGAGGATTGAACCTAATGCCTCACCTGTGCTAGGTGAGTGCTCTATGGCTGAGCCACAACCCCAGCCCAAACTTTCATCTTTATTTGTAAATAAAGGACAAAGGGATTTTGCCAATTCTGGTATTATGTGTTTGAGATGGTGGAATTATAGAATGGTGTGTGTGTGTGTGTGTGTGTGTGTGTGTGTACATGTGTGTGTGTATTCATATTTTAATTGTACAATATTACAAATTGTTTATAATGAGCATTTTAGGCTTAATATCAGAATTATAAGAGGGAGAATTTCATGGTTTCAAGAAGTATAAATAAGTAGGATATTTAATTGAGCACAAGGTGAGGTTTTTTTCTTAAGAAACTTTTAACTGTGTCTCCCCTGCATCTCATCCCATGCACTGCTTACTGTTTCTAGCAGAATATTTGTAATAAAGCCAGAATGCCTGACTGACAGGGTGACTGGCAGCTTTTAAAAGGTTCTGTCGGGCAGTCAGAAAAGTGCATGAATTCTTTCTTCTTGTGTGACACATACCAAATGAAGATGGAGGGCAGTTTTCTTAAATGGTTCTGGTATAGCTTTAGCTCCTAATTTTTTTCTTCTTTAAATAAAATCTACTTATTTTTATATACAACTTGGAAATCCTTCAGGTTCTTAGCATATTCAGGAAAGCCACACTGAGTAAAATAATCCCCCCTCCTTTTTTTTTTTTTTTTTAAGAAGAAAATGTGCTGCTTACTTACATAGATTCTGCAAATATTCATGGCCACTAAAGAGACCTCTCTACAAAACTACCCAAACAACTTGTAGATTAATAAATCTCTAGATTTGATATTTAATTTTGATTCATTTTGTAGAAATACTCAGAAGGACAGAGCCTGTGCCTCTCTCATTTCTCATATTATGTGACTTGTTGACATTTGAGTTTTCAAAATATCAAGGATTTCTCTAATGTGACTCATCTCAGTTAAGAGCCTTTATTCTCCCCCTTTGAATGATGGACTGCTGATTCAGAACTGTATGATAAAATTAGAAATGCCGATATTTTCCATTCATTGTACTTTTATAATTCTGTCCTTTCACTTTTGGCTCCTTAATCTGCAAACTAATTTGATGATTAAATTTGTTCAAAAGTTTTATTTAATTTTAACCTTGTTCTTATGAACAAACGAGCCTGAAGTACACTGATAAAATGCTCCTTGGGAAGTGGCTAGCACAGGTCTCTGGGTCATAGTATTGTCTGTGTCATTAACTGAAGTATGTAGCATAGTGTGGTTTGTAACCCCTCTGATGCTTGGCTTTAGTAAATGTAAATGAGAGGTGCTGGACTATGCATCAGTCAGAATAGGTTCAGTTATGCTACAGTAATGAGGAGTTCCCATATTTCAATATATAGCCACCATGCGTAAACTGGGGTCTCTGTTCAAACAGTCCTCCTCTTCCTCCTCATTCTGGGACTCAGACTGACAGAGAAGTCATACTCTCTGACAGAGAAAACTACTACCTGAAAATCAGACAGTACCTGAAATATTGATGGTTGCTATGGCAGAGGGAAGGAGAAAATGTCAATGCATGCAACAGCTGTTAAAGCTTCTTTTGCCCAGAAGTGACACATGTCACTTCCTTACATATTCTCTTCACCACAGCTAATCTTATGGCTAAGCCTGACTTCAAAGATATTGGTAAGACAATCTGGTCAATAGATAATCTAGAAAGGCCCTTTAATTTTTAGGAAATGAAGTTTCTCAAGTGCATTGAGAGTGGTAGTGACCAACATTTGCTTTGAGGACAAACATGTACTTAGTAGCAAAGAATGATGATATTTTTTGAGAAATTTTTAAGGTAATTATAGATTCACCTAAACAGGTATATGAAATAATAGAGAGATCTCATGTACACTTTACCTTGTTTTCCTACCAATAAACTTTGCCAAACAGCATAATATCACAACCAGAACACCGATATTGATGCAACCCACCTATCTTATTTAGATTTCCCAGTTTTACTGGTTATGTATTTGTGTACGGTATATTGTTCCTTGCAATTTATTGCATATGTACATTCTACCACTGTTAAGATATTGATCAGTTCTAATACCACAGAATCCTTCACGTTGCCTATTGATAACAATACCCACCTCCCTTTACCACTATTACCCTTATATCTAATATATCTAATATAATATAATTACCCTTATATCTAATACACTCTCCATTTAAATAATTTTACCATTTCAAATGCTATTTATATGTATTCATATAGTATATGACCTTTGAAATTGGCCTTTTTCATTCAGCATAAATCCCTGGAGATTTATCCAAGTGGTTGAATGTATCAATAATGCTTTCCTTTTTAATTGCTGTACTATATTCATAGTATGTATGAACTCTATGTCCTCAGTTTATTTAGTAATTATCTGCTGAAGAACATATAGCTAATATAAATAAAGCTGAAAATTTGTGTGCAGGTTTTTGTGTGAATAAGGAACAAGCTTTTTATTTCTCTGGGTATATACCCATGAGTAAAATTGCTGGATGATACAGTAATTGCATGTTTAGAGTTATAAGAAACTACCAAACTTTTCTAGAGGGGCAGTACCATTTTATACTCCCACTAACAATGTATGAATGATTCACCAAATTCTCACTAGCATTTGACATCATTATTTTAATGTTAGAACTTCTAATAGATGTATATTTATAGATATAGTGATAAGTCATGATAATTTTAACTTACATTTCCTTAATACCTTTTGATATTAGAAATCTTTTCAAGATTTGTCATCTGTATTTGTATTTTTGTGAAGTGTCTGTTCAAGTTTTTTGCCTATTCTTTATTGGGTTGGATTTTTTTTCTTATTAAGTTTTGAGCATTCTTCCTGTATTTTTAGATATAGTTCTTTGTCAGATATGTGATTTGAAAACATTTCTCTTGATTTGTATATAGTTTTTTTTTCATTCTCTTAACAGTATCTTTTAAAGAACAGTTTCTATTTTAATGCCACCAATTTTTAAATTTTTTTTCCTCTATGGATTGTGCTTTTGGTGTCATCTAAGAAATCTTAGATGACATCCTAAAATTTGTCTTTACCCCTACATCCTAAAGATTGTCTTTCATGTTTTGAAGGTAAAAATCCTAGGTGTGGTTAGATCCAATTACAGACAATTACTGGGTGTAACCTAGCAGGCCTCTTTGGGGGAACCTGTCTTCCTCATGTCAGATTCTGTGGACAGCCAGCGCATTGCAGTTTCCTGAAGGGAGCAAGAGTCAAGGCCACCATGGGCCAACCATGCTTATCTGCATATCTACATTACCATTCTAGGCACCTCCAGTGGGAAGTCTCCTTAATGGGAAGCTTATGCTTGATTTATTTTTTTAAACTTAATACTATAAGTGTTTATAGTTAATTCCATAATTCATTTTGAGTTAATTTTTATGTGTGGGTGGCTTAGGTAGGGATTTATTTTATTTTTGACTGTGATTATTCAATTTACCCAGCACTATTGGTTGTAAAAGCTATCCTTCCTTTACTGGATTGCTTTTGTACCTTTGGGAAAAATCAGGTGAACCTATTTGTATGGGTCTATTTCTGGGTTTCTGTTTTGTTCCATTGGTCTATTTGTATGTCTCTCTGCAAACACCACACT